AAATTTTTCTAATGTATGACAAAAAAGCAGTGTACATGGATATAGTGAAGAGTGTGCGCAATGCCATTTTTGTGCAATTCTGGGATGTTTTTTTAAGTAAAAATAAGTCGATGTGTACATGGTTTAGTGATATTTTAATTAAATGATAGTTATTTTGTGAATTTTATGTTTGTAGGAATTTGGTATACGTTTTAGTGGAAGTAAACGTGCATGGAAATAATTTACATATTTCACACTAAGTATTTGTAATGTTTGCGGTATGAATTCGTTGGTGACGTTTATAATATAATAGATAATTGAGAGGTAAAAGTTTTTGGATATTTTATTTATTTTATACATGGAAATGTTCATATTTGGAAAGGGTATATACTTTTTCGCGATCAGGTAATTTCATATATGTGCTTTTTACCGGATTTAAAGATTCAAAAAATTGTCATGTATTTTCGTGAAATTTTTCTAATTTATGAGAAAAAAAGCAGTGTACATGGATATAGTGAACAGTGTGCGCAATGCCATTTTTGTGCAATTCTGGGATTTTTTTTAAGTAAAAATAAGTTGACGTGTACATGGTTTATGTGTATGTGTTATTTTGAAAAACGCGTAAGGAGTATGGTATTGTGCACTTTTTCCCAATTTTGCAGTGAGTATTTGTCATGATTAAGCAGTTTTGTTAGATAAAATTTCTAGCATAAGTGTAATTCGGCTAGTAGATTGTTGGAAGAAGTGTTCAGTAGATAAAAAGAAAAGAAACATGTCTTTACTTTGTGAAGACAAAATGGCAGCGGGAAAAAAAATAGAGGGTTGCTGTAGGAGAGTTGGTCGCCAAATTTTCGCCAAAAAATCGCCAAGTTACCATAATGTAAAGATCAACCGCAGTTTTACCATTTGAGAGCATCTTTACAGATCAAGCAACGCAAAGGCCTTCATTTATCAGTTTTGGTACTCCATCAATATATGCATTTTCAGTTTTTATTCATAACAATGATCTGATTACTATTATAAGCTCTGAAATTAACAACATTTGGATTAGAATGGATGCCAAACAAAATTTACTTTTGCTTTAATTTTAATTCAAATAAATCTGGATTTAGAAATCCATTTTTATTTTTTTCTCAAAATTCTAAATTAAAATGGATTTAAAAATCCATTTTAATTTCTTGATATATAAAGCACAAATATAATTGAAAATGTAGTACTTTCCAATCAAAGCCACACTACATGGCATTTGTAATTCCTCTCTGCCAGATAGTGCCACTCTGGTTTGAAACTTTCTAAGAATGAATAAATGGCTATCCTGTTTTTTCAACAAAAAAGTACGCTCCATATAGAAACATTGTATGGTTCTAACAAGATGGCATGAAGAAATTAAAAATATAAAATAGTGGTTTATGAAATAATGAAGCATTTACGACCTTAATAAAATTAAAATTCACAAGAAAAAAAAAATCAGTATATAATGTCTTGTGTTCTTTGGGAATTTAAACTGCACAGAATGTTGTAAGTCTTAGAAATACATTATCACTATGTCTTGTAAAGTATCACAGCAACAGAGAAATGGGTGTAAAGGACCCTTTTATTTGTCTCAATTGAAAGTTAACAGAAGGCTCCACTTCGATTTAGATTGGAGGAAAGTACAGAATCACACACAGCTAGCTGTATTTTTAAGAATTGCACGAACTCGGTATCCATTTTCACTTAGTAAAACATCAGAGAATTGCACAAATTTGGCATTGTGCACTCCCTTCACTTTCTCCATGTACACATCAATGTATTTTCACTTAAAAAGTCAAAGGAAATTGACAAAAATCCAATTCTTCTTACTCTTGTAAAAAGTGCCAAACACAACACGCCAAATAAGTGGGCGATTCTGCACTTCACTTGTAGATTGTTTCAATTTAAGATGTATGCAAACAAAAGGGTGACTGCAAAGCCAAGTTATTGATGATACATATTGATGCTAATAAATGATTATGGCTTTAATGGAAAGCTACCAGAAGCATAACCTAACTATACCATGTAAACAGATTTTTTTTTTTAACACTGAAGATGTTATACAGTCAAGGTGAATTTTCTTTCTAAATCTGATAACTAATACATACTTGCCAACCTATGACACTCAAAAATCAGGAGATTTTTTTAAGAAATCGGGAGATTTTTCGCAATGTTAAAAAGACTTTTTAAATGAGGAAAATATAGTTTTTAATAATGAATTAACTTTAAACAGTAACTAATTCTTAAATGCAAGCAACACAAAAATACCTTACACATAAAAAAAACATTTTTATTACTTGCATCGTTTAAGAAAAAAAAAAAAAAAACCTTTAATCAGTTTTTGTACAAATGGTATAAACAGTGGCAGATTTTGCTTTCTTTAAGAAAGAAACTTCATAATTTTGTTCATAGCAATTGCCACGTAGGCCTGCTTTCACCAATAAAGGTTTTCTAATGTGTCATCACTAATATTAGATCTAAATTTAGTCCTCGTTTTCGCAACAACACTGAAAATCCTCTCACACTCTGCATTACTATGGGGAACTGTCAAGATGGCCAACATAATTCTAGACAGTTCTCTATATTTTAAAATTCCATCAGCATCTTTCAGTTTTCCAATTAAACTCTACTGGGTGTCAATCCTAGCTGATTTTATAACTTCATCCAAGTTTTCTAATTGTAAACTGCTATTATGCAGCTGTTGGACCTGTTTCAATTTTTCCTCCTTTTTGGAACTCCTTTCAAGATAAATATCAACAATGTGTTCATCCACATTTATTGGTAATGAAGCTACTCCTTTTTCAGCTGCTAAATTTAAGATGTGACAGGTGCACCTCATAATCTGCAAATCTGAATTTTCCTTTCTGAAGATGCCTGCAACACCAGTCTTCAAGCCTACCAATACTGGTGCATTATCGGCACCAAGTGCTAAGCAATTATCCAGAGGGACTGTATTTTCTTTTAAAGTTTTAATAATTAGCTGTGCTATATTAAAGCCTGTCAAATGTCCTTCTAAAGTGGGGACAGAAAGTAAACTGCACTCAATTTCTGAAGACTCTGGATTAAAAAAAGAAACAACAATTGGATACAGTTTTGAATCAGTATTATTGCTTCCATCCGAAGAGAGGCAGAACGGAGCTGTTTTAATGCGATCAATAACTGAAGATTTATTTTTCAAATCCATTTCTTTAATAATTGCACCTCTTTTGGTTCTTGCACTTAAGTATTTCTTAGCGATTTCACTATCGGGAAACATTTTTCTAAATAAAGCTGCAGCGTGATCCGATGCATTCAGTGGCAGGTTGCTCCAGTAAAAAGGCAGAGAACAGACATTCTGCATTAATAACTTTTTGGTTCTTTGTTTCCGAAGAAAAATTTAATTTTTCGTTTTTTTTTTTTTTTTTTTTTTTTTTCAAAACAGCTCATGTTGCCCTTGTGTTTTTGTGTACGCACATGTTTGAGAACATCCGCCCTTCCACCACGCGAAATCGAAAAATCGCAACGACAGGTGGTACACATAGCAAATTTATTACATTTCCTTGAGGAAATAATGGAAGGAAAGTCAACTGTGTACGATTTTTGAAACGTACACGAGTATTTCACCTTTCTCACAGACATAACAAACGATGATAATTTCTAAAACTATTTCCGGAAGGCACGTGTACTTACACAACTCAGGTCAAAATGACAGAAATAACTAAAGAACATCCAAATAACAGCTTGTTTTGTCCTCATTGGCTAATATATGCCAGATGACACGCAGTGGAGCACGATCAAAGAATCTCTAAGGAACCTCCTTAGAGGAATCTCCTTAGAGATTCCTTGGCACGATGCCCATTGGAGAACTGGAGAAGGACGTTTCTGGATACGTATATGCTCTCACTCACAAAGCAGAAGTTATCTAATTCGCAAGGTTTTGTTTTAGATATAATCTAGAGAAAATTCATTTGCTTCGGACGTCCAAAATCACTTTTTTTGTTCATATAACAAAGTATTAAGCCAAGTTCCATAAAAATCATGAGAAATTTTAAGAATAAGAAAAAGTCGGGAGAAATATATTGTAAATCGGGTTGGCGGGAGAGCGGTCGAAAACGTGGCCTTCGAGAAACGAGTCTCCCGCCTAAATCGGGAGAGTTGGCAAGTCTACTAATATATAGCATTGATACATGTACTAATAATGTATACTGTTATGGATTTGGTATTTAATTAGTTATTGTTACTAGAGTTATAAATAAAAGTGTTTTATTCCCCGTGCAGAGCAGCGCATGATGAATATTAAAAGGAAGCTAAGGCGGAAAATCAAAAATACAAGAGGGCATGCATTTAACATTTAATAAATAAATATCTTTTTTTTGATTTCGAGAAAATACTGGAAAATTCTCGCGCATTTAAAAAGCTTATATAAGCGGCATGAAAACCTCTCAATTTGTTAGTTAGTTGTTGTTTTAAGAGTTTGTTTAGAAAACTGCTCTTGTTGACTGTAGCGAATTCGCAGATTAGCTTTCTCTAGCTGTTGTAAATTAAGTCCTGTTGAACATTTGAGTACTTAAAAAATACCTACTAGGATATATTGTAACACTGAACGAATATCTGAGGAAATTTAAGCATTTTGTTTTATTTGTGATAATAATAAACTTTGTTCATTTTTCATCGGACTTGTGTATTCAATTCATAACGAACCCGTACACATGCAACAATACTAATAACTAACACATGGCACTACTGATACTAATACATATATAATCTATCACAAAAATATCAACATATTTATGAAATCAGCTTGTAATGATTAAGCTACCGAGGATGAGTTTTGCAACATAGGTAAAGGTTTCTTGTATCAATTTCTAAATTAACGAAAAGTTTTGAATAAAACGATCAAAAATACAGTTTTTTTTAATATAACTAATTTATTTTATAACAACAATTTATATATGATTAATGTATGAAAGTATTCAATAAGAAATTATAGATTATGTTATTGATATAGTTGGCATAAAATTTTAAGTTACCTGATACCATGTATTGTTCAAATTTATAACCCCATGAGGACATTAGCTTGTCCCTCTCAGTCATTTTTTCTCTCCGTTGGACATCCTGTTCTGTGTCAAATCCACATAAAAATATAACTGATTTGTACTTTGTAGCACATATCAACCAGTCTTCCTTATTTTCATATGTTGTAGAACAGATTTCAGTCAGAAGGCCACGAAAGCAGACAAAATCTATTTTAATTCTAGAGTTAGAAAATTATATTATTAAAAACTAAATACTAACATAAAAATAATTTCATTATTGCATTTTTAAAACACAATGAAATTCTTTTCATTACAATATGTGTTTGTTCTTTCCAATAGCATGCAGCAGAACCTCCGTAAACGAGCCTTTATCAACACCGAGGTTTGCGTTATCCAAGTCAGTAATTAGTTCAAAGAACTAATTTCAGTAATATTATATAATTACAAAGCATACACTAAAAATCAGTAGCATTTACAAATTTTCTCAACAATTAATCTTTTGGTCTGTCTTATCAGTAATGGGTCATTTAATGTCCTTCTTATTTTAACATCATAATAAAAAATTATGGTTTATATGTTGTAAAAATGTTTCAGAATAGAGAAATAAAGAAACAGCATAACAAATTTTGCAATTTTGTGTGGCAAAGAAATCATTTGCATCATAGATCAAGAGAAAATAAAAATTGCTGTGATGCTGAGAATGATAAAATAAAAAATGTAAAGACTGGTGATGCTGAAATCTTGATTTTGGTTTATTCTGATAATGGCAAAGCATGCAAAGGCTTTCTGTCTAAATGAAAAGATACCTTCATGAATGACATTTTAAAAGAAATAAGGTTGTATTAATGCTGTATGTAATGCTTGCTTGTGGGTAAGAGACAACTTTGTTGAAAGTTACATTTCAGTATATCCTTAATATAAATTTTGCAAATTCAAATTCATGTCAATATATTTTTTAACTTTACCTTAATATAACACATATTACAAGCAAATTATGAAATATATGTATTATTTTAACATGTTCTGTACTTTTTGAAGGTACTATAAATAATAGCTATCCATGACATGAAATGACAAATGTTATTTAAGGAGTACCTGAAAAGAAATTTGTAAAAAACTTTTATTAAAAAGATATATATAAAAAAATAATATATGATACTCTTACTAAAAAAAAAAAAAAGAGAAGAAAAAAAGCTATAATGGATATATTTATCACAACTATGAAGGTCAGAATGAAATTTTGAATTAAAAAGTTAATAGTCTTTTTCCTGTATTATGTACTTGGTTTTGTACATATATCTAATAAATCACTGGCTATTTTCTGTGGAATAAACAATAGCAGTTGATGAAAGAAGTGTTCTGTGGTCAAGAACATCTTCATCTCTCAGCAGAATCAGAACCAGAGATGGTGCAACCTGTGTAGTCCATACAGAGCAGCAGAATTTAGAGGCAACAAGAGTACTATATCTGAAAATTTACCACATTCCTTACTCCTAAGTATTATGAAACCATTTTATGCTGTCTAACAGACAGTTGCAGAGTTTAGTTTTGTTACTTCCTTGTTAAAGGTGACCACTGTATAAATCTTTGGAGACATTTGAAATTTGCTTGTTACAGATCAGTGATTTAATTTCTCTATTTTGATGGTTAAGCTCAGTAGCTTCTTTAATAAGGATGCATTGTTATATTTTATGAGAGTACAGCCAAAAAAAATGGTATTCTCTGATTATCTGCCTAACCCTGAGAAGAATCACCCAGCAATGTGCTATGTTGCCAAATTATGCAACCCAGAATTTTACAAAAGTGTATTTATCTGGCAGCCTATTAATGGTTGTGCTCATTACGATAGCATGGAATTTAACAGTCATCTTTGCAGCTGCTGCTTGCTGTGATTAGAGTGCGCATTTTTTTTTTTTTTTTTTTTTTTTTTTTTCTTCTCGTTATGCCTTTGTGCAAGTTTGTCTGCTAATGAAAAAGTGTTGCATACATAAAAGAAACACCCATAATGAAACACTGAAAATTACATAACACAGTAGCAAACTAATTAAATTAAAAACAGCAAGACTGTAAAAATGCAAATATTAGGATTATTTTCATTACTATTGTTAAAGTAATAGCATGTACTCTAAAAAAAGGCGCATTCAGCTAGCTTTTATTTATCCCTGATATTCCATTATTACAGAAATCTTGCAGTTTGAAAATTATCTATCAACTGTTCATAGCTGATTGGGATAATAACATTTTCAAAATTTGTGCAATATTTTTATGTTAAAACAAGTTGATGTGTACATGGAAAAAGGGAGAAAAATAGATATTTCTTGTGTTTTAATTTTGTTAATTTGGTGCTATTTTAAGTGCTTTTCAATGTGTTGCTATTTTCTGAAATGGCTGTTGTTTCTCATATCTGAGGTAGGTGAAAAATTAGTTCTCAATAATTGGAAACTTTGTAGGAGAGTTGGGTGGATAATAAGGAAAGTGTCAATAATTTACTATTGTTTATCTTTAGAAAATATAATTTAGCCAACTTTTCATACAACCATGAAAAGCTTTGGTTATGGAAAATTAAATATAATTTGGATAAAGAAAAAGAAAGATTAACTTAAGAACTTAAAAAATTCAACAAGGCCATGCAATTTTACATAATAATATCTGGTTTTATATATAAATAAAAATAACTGAGAATTAAACAAATAATATACAAAAGGTTTATCACACATCTGAATAACAATAATTTACACTTATCGATTGTTGATAGTATGTAGTTCTAAAGTATAATACAGAAATTTGAGTTTTAAAACCATAAAAATGTGGGGCTAAAGTGCAGAATTGCCCACTTATTTGATTGGTGTTTGTTTGGCGCTTTTTACAAGAATAAGAATTGGATTTTTGTCAATTTTCTTTGACTTTTTAAGTGAAAATAGGTCAATGTGTACATGGATAAAGTAACGGGAGTGCACAATGCCCTTTTTGCGCAATTCTGGGATTTTTTTTTAAGTGAAAATAGGTTGATTGATGTGTATATGGACACCGAGTATGTGCAATTCTTAAAAACGCATCAAGCAGTGGGCGATTCTGCACTTTCCCCAAATTTGGAATTAGATATTTGGTTGAACCCTATGTAATTTCCTTTATCAGTACACATATGGAATACATCCAGAAAGTAAGTTTCCGTAGGATTGTAAATAGAAAGAAAACATGGTTCCATAGAAAAATATATTAGAACTGATACAGGAATTGTTTATTCACCACTGGAATTGAGACATTTGTCATACTGTGGGATCACTTTTGTATTTCTCTGTCATGGAATTCTGCTGCCTGGGATTGGAAACATTATACAGTCAAAAGTCGTTAATTCGGACACCCATAATTCGGAATGATCTATAATCCGGACATCAAAACTAAAAACTTTCTGCGCATGCGCCGCGTTGACACACGTGCAGAGGCGTTCACGCGTGCACGTAAGACCTTTTACGACTGCGCATATGAGTGTGCGCAAGTGCAGAATACATTTTCGCGCGCGCATTTTATGTATAATGGACGTATAAGCTAAATAATTATCTATTTCAGTTAATGTTGATGATTGCGTTGTTCCTTAATTTTCGAATTGCATCCAGCTTATTATTTTTTGCAGACTGTAAGAGCAATTTTATAAAAGTAAGCTTAAACTTTCGATTATATCAAATAGAATTTCTGATATATATTTGTTAATATGTAAAGGATCTAAAGCGAAAGTATGTTTTGAAATCCGAAATCTGTTTATCAATTTCACGCTGCTCGGCGGCAGGCGCCTAATGAATTGGAAGTTGATTTGTCAGCACTATCCTTATCTTCAGCGCAGATGTTTTTATTTTATTTGGCTTATAATTCCTTACCAAATGTAGTATTTCATCTCGATATGCTCCGTCTTTGATATGATTTAAAACAAGTTCCTCGTCATTATAATTCGCTTCCGATAGCGAAGAAAAGTGATAGAGGTTATTGAAAACAAAAAAATTTCTATTGACAAATTAGTCGGTGTTCTTGACACAGCAATTATAGGACTTGAACGGTGGAACTTTGTAACTGAACAAGAAATTATGTCTGTTTAATATAATTAAAGAGAAAGTATTATCACATGAAACGAAGCAAAACTTAAGCAACTTACATTGAAAGAAATGTTTAATAAAGTAAACAAATAAATATTAAGCTTTTTCTTTTTGCAAATTTTGATACCCTTTAGATCATAATTGTTCTTTATTTCATAAATTACGGTTTCATATTTTTAATTTTAGAATTTCTGCATGCCATCTTACGAGATTTAAACTGATGATCTATAATCCGGAAAAATCGATAATCCGGAATCGCCGAAGTCCCGACGAGTCCGGATTAACGACTTTTGACTGTATTACAGTCATTTGCACCTCTTTATCATTCTAAAAACGTTCATCAAACAGGAATTTTTTGAAGTGTAAGAAAAGATAGAAATTTTTAAAAGCAAGATCAGGACTATAATACGGATGGTCAAACATGTCTCAACAGAAGATGCATTGTGTATACAGTCATATATCAGCAAGCATTAATGTTGATCAACATAAATTCTGCATCATACACCCACCTGCCTTTTTCTCCAGCTGGCTAATCACAATTCTGACACTATTTGACAAAAATGGTCACGTCTATCAATCCACCTCTGGCCAGGAATCAATGAACAGAATATCCTATTTGTCTCAGAATACCATGAACATGAATTTTTGGCCCTGTCTGCTTGAATTTTATCCTACACAAAGATCCAATGTGATGCAATGCATGGTAAAAGTTTAAAATTGGTTGCCCCTTGTTTATTGGCGATTCTTTTTTGACGCCAAGATCGGCACACAATTTCAAGATGGCCGCTACACAAAATCAAAATAAGAAGTCAAAGAATTGCACAAGATCTGTGTTCATGTACACATCGATCTGTTTTTACTAAAAAAACATCCTAGAATTGCACAACCTAGGCATTGCGCACTGCTTTAAATATGTCCATATATACATCAATCTATTTTCATTTAAATAAATTCGGGAAGCTAAAACGAAGTTAAAACTATCGTAGTAACCAGAAGTGATGTTTCATCACCAAAATTTTTTTTAAAAATGTCGCCAATCGAAGGGGCACCCAATTATACACTAGAGCCCAATGCATTAATTTCTGGCACCCACCAGCGGCCGAGCGGTAAAATTGCTGAACACTGGTAGTTCGGTCCGGGCTTTGAATCCCAGCGAACGGGCTGGTTGCATGGGTGTTTTCATGGTGTTTCTAATTGTAACGTATATGCCTGCTGGTTTCCCTTAAAAAATTCTTCACAAAGGCATCCCTCCTTTTAGGCAGATAGCCCTAGTGTGCTTTGCCGTATTCTCAATATACATATACACACATTAATTTCTGCTTGGTTGCCAATATAAAGTTAGTAATTTGTCACTGTGATGTGTTTCACTGACTGTGATGATCCTGTTAAGGAGTCTGTTGCTGATCATGGTATAACTGCTGAAAAGTAACTGCTGATCTCCTGCATTTGTTTTTGTGTTTCCGGATCAGGCTCTCTGGGATTCACCAGAACATAATTTCTGAAATAAGAGAAGTTTTGCGATAATTCCATGGCACAAGGAAAGGGATAGCTGTGGAAAATGTTTGCCGATTTCCATAAAAATAAAGTGAAGTTCTCCAAAATGCACTATCAAACAAGGTCTTTATTAATGATAGACAACCAGCCAATGCATTTCTAATCATAGATACTTTAATAACCTTAAAAAATTTGGCAGCACCAAAAGTACACTATCTGCAGCCTCAGAGTACAAAGCTCATAGATCTGACACAGCCAACAATGAATTTTGATCAGCATTACTTTACGTGTATTCAGCAATTTTATCATGGACTTTATTGGCAACAACTTTATCATGGACTTGAGCAAAATTATAAGGTTCTATAATTTAAGCTGCTATAACTGCCACATCCAGAGTGACTGGGAAAGGGTAACTGTTACACGACAGCCACATCCAAAAACTTTTAGGCACGTACATCTGTTTTTCACAATGTCATCTATTATCAATGCGGGAAACTTATCTTCTAGATGTACCTCATATTATTATTACATTCTTGCGATGAACTTGTTTAGTATAACTAAACTCTAAATATTTTATATTAATTGGTATAATGTATATAGTATTAATACTCACGTATTTGTTCCATGTATCATGAAAACATTCTTCACTTTTTCTTGATGTGCTAATATCCATCTTAGCATCGTATCTATCTTTTCTTTTTTCTGAAAATCTTTTTTAATTGCTTCAGAGTAACCTTTGTTCAAATCCATGTGTAATCCCGTTATAGACCGAGGCATAACTAGATATTTTAATTGATGATTATCATCATGAAATTGTCTTTCCCCATCCAATGAAAAACAACCAATTTCTGTAGGCTGACGAAAAGATGGGAAATTTCCATTGTAATGGAATGCATTTTGCACAACGAGATGCATTTTAAAAACTTATTCACTTAAAAATGCAGCAGATATACCTTGAAATAACAATTACATATTTGCTTTTTCCAGATTTCAAGTTATATAATTGATTTCTATTAAGATACGGTTAACAAAAAGCATTCACTCAAATAATAATATGATCCTACGTAAAACGTTTAAAACATTTTGGTTCATATTTTCCAGCTTGTGAAAAGTGAGTTTTGAGAAATTACTCTAAATAATTTTGATAATTCAAATATTTACGTTACATCTAATATTTCTTACCACTTAATAAAGCACACGACTAAAGTGTATATTTTTCCAATCATAGTAATTTAATGACAAACGGATAAGTAACTAATGTTTCCTAATGACGGAAATGAACAAGATAGACTGCGTCGCTCTTTAAAATTAACGTTTTAATTGTAAACAAAAAGCTTTGGTGCACCTAACAAAGTCATTAAACACGATGGATTCAATTTCAAAACAAAATAATAAAATAACTTTTTAGAATCTATTCGTTTAATTGAATACGGCAAAGTACGCAAGAGCTATGTTCCTTTAAAAAATGCAAATTTAATAAAAGATATCATATTATACCGCGCTTGGATACCATTATTTATTATGTTATTGTTTATTAAATACCTGTTGCCATTAGTAGTTGCAGTTGTTAGTGTGCTGGAAATTGAAATTATGATCCAAAGATCTTCGGTGGTGATGATGAAATGAGCGAAAAAGTTACTAGTGTAAATGATTGATTTTCTTGTTTATCTTTCTTGTTTTATATTTAATGGGCTGAAAACTGCCAACTTATTATTACATCTTATTGAAAAATTATATATGCATCTCACTGCGATCAGCTCGATGCCGGTTAACGAATGCACAAACTTTACATGCAGTATGTGAAATTTTCCTTAAATGTTTCAAATATTCATTTTCTCATTTTCATAAAATTGTAATACTAGCAATATGAAAGCAAATATGAATACTATACTAGCAAATTCTGTTTCCTGCGTCTGAAAATGATATCCGTAATAGATCTTAAAAAAATCGAATTCAAAGCAGGTTAATTCAATCAGAACTGTTAAAAATCAAATTATGGAACATAAAAATAATTTTCATTAAGCATGTTGCAAAATTCCCTTTGTAATTAAGCTATATTTCAGTAATTATTAAATGTTAGAAAACGAGCAATTTAAATATTTCAGTCGATAATTATAAAATATTAGAAAACTAGTAACTTATTTTTGATTTATTGAAATTTCATCATATAGTCGAGAGAAAAATATGTTTTGATTCTGATGCTTTTGTTTTGTTCTACATATATTATAAATAATGAAAAATTAATTTGCAGTACCATGGAACAGTAAATTTTTATTAAATTAAAAATATATGTCATGTATATTTGTTTTAAAGGTTATTTAAAAAGGTAGAATGATAAATTATATTATAAAATTATTGAACCAAACAGTAGTCAGAGTAGCTAGTAGTTTTAATATTACAAATGAATACATCAGTTTATGATATAAAAGCTTAATAATTTTAATATTTTTCTTCGTGTATTAAGAAGTTACCAGTACTAGTTTTAAATAAATGTTATTGCACTGTGCAACTTAGGGTCATGCGACATAACTCTCTATCAAAAATCAACTATATCCATTTAGTGTCACAGATGTCTAAAGTAATAACTCCTGTCTTGGTATGGATTAAACTCATGTAAAAATGTGTGTGTAATATAATATTTACTTCAGTATGAGTGCATATATAATTTGAAGAATTGTAGTTTTAGTTGGATAGCTAGGAATTCTTCTGGGATTTAGGATAATTTCTAGCCCCTTCTGGAATAATTAAACACCATCCTTTTTGATGTAAATGAAGTAAATATTTATTTTCTTATGGTAAAACTTTAAAAAAAATTAGTTACGTAAAGTTAATAAGTTACATAAAGCTTTTTCATGTATAACTGGACAAAAATAATATACAGACAAAATTTTTTGTGTGAATAAAAATGTATTTGTATATGCACACTCAATTATAATACCCTTATATTATACAAATTGTAAAATAGTTACTAATCAAAGCATTTTTCAACACATTTCTTGCTTTATCATCAGCTGTGAATGGCTCACTACTCTGAAGATCTGTTAGTGCATCAGTTTTCTCCAGAGCTTAAATTGCGCCCGAGCCCTCCTCCTGTACAGTACAAAGTCCGTAATATGGACTCGTCAGGACATCGGCGATTCCGGATTATAGATCATCAATTTAAATCTGGGAAGATGGCATGCAAAAATTATACGGTTCATCTTTGGGTTATGGTAACTTGGCGAAAATTTGGCGACCAACTCTGCTACAGCAACCCTCTATTTTTTTTTCCGCCGCCATTTTGTCTTCACAAAGTAAAGACATGTTTCTTTTCTTTTTATTTACTCAACACTTTTTCCAACAATCTACTAGCCGAATTACACTGATGCTAGAAATTTTATGTAACAAAAATGCTTAATCATGACAACTATTAACTGCAAAAATGGGAAAAAGTGCAGAATCGCAAACTCCTTGCACGTTTTTCAGAATAGCTCATACACATAAACCATTTACACGTCGACTTATTTTTACTTAAAAAAAAATCCCAGAATTGCACAAAAATGGCATTGCACACTCTTAACTTTATCCATCTACACTGCTATTTTCTCATAAATTATAAAAATTTTCACGAAAATGCAGGAAAATTTTCTTAATCTTTAAACTCGATAAAAAGCACATATATGAAATTACCTGATCACGAAAAAGTATGTATCCTTTCCAAGGATGAACATTTCCACATATAAAATAAATAAAATATCCAAAAGCTTTTACCTCTAAATTATCTATTATATTATAAACATCACTATCGAATTTATATGCAAACATTAAAAATAGTTACAAATACTTAGTGTCAAATATTTAAATTATTTCCATACACGTGTACTTCAACTGAAACGTAAACCAAATTCCTACAAACATAAAATTCACAAAATAACTATCATTTAATTAAAATATCACTAAACCATGTACACGTCGACTTATTTTTATTTAAAAAAACATCCCCGAATTGCACAAAAATGGCATTGCGCACACTCTTCACTATATCCATGTACACTGCTTTTTTGTCATACATTAGAAAAATTTCACGAAAATGCATGAAAATTTTGTGAATCTTTAAATCGGTAAAAAGAACATATATGAAATTACCTCATCGCGAAAAAGTATATATCCTTTCCAAGGATGAACATTTCCACATATAAAATAAATAAAATATCCAAAAACTTTTACCTCTAAATTATCTATTATATTATAAACGTCAGCAACGAATTTATACGCAAACATTAAAAATAGTTACAAATACTTAGTGTCAAATATTTAAATTATTTCCATACACGTTTACTTCAACTGAAACGAATAACTTGAATAGTCATGCCATTGTTCAAGAAATTTAACATAGATTTTAAAAATGCTACTTTATATTTGCATTTCAGCACGTGCACTATTCCTATATCCATAGGCTGAATGATAGACATACAATTTGGAGGGAAGAATAATACGGATACATTATCTTTCATTAAAACTTTAAGCAAAGTATGTGCCGAACAGTTGTCAACAATCAGGACTATTTTTGAATCATCAGGTAAACCAACCGAATTCAAATGTCGCTGAGCCTCGTGTATAAAATGATTTTCAAACCAATCATTCATCGATGGTTGTGTCATCCATGCTTTTTTATTTGCGCGATATATAACAGGGAAAATCATTACTCCTTTGAACGCTTGAGGTTGTGCATGTTTTCCGATTACGAAAAATTTTCACTTGTGCGTTCTTGCAACATTTGCGCACGTTAAAATTGTTAGTCTCGCTTTGGAATCTTTGACACCAGTTGGAGCCTTTTCTGTAGAGCTTGCCGAGGTATTTTGCGGTACATATTGCCAGAAAAGACCAGTTTCATCAGCATTGTAAATTTGGGTTAATCTTTGGATTATGGTAACTTGGCGATTTTTTGGCGAAAATCGGGCGACCAACCCTGCTACAGCAACCTGCTAGTTTTTGTTTGGACGCCATTTTGTTTTCACGAAGTAAAGGCATAGTTTATTTTTTAAACCTCAACATTTTTTTTCAAACAATCTGCTAGCCGAATTACGCTTATGCTAGAAATTTTATGGAACAAAAGTGCTTAATCATGACGAAGATTAGGTGCGAAATTGGGAGAAAGTGCAGAATCGCCCACTGCTTGCCGCGTTTTTAAGAATTGCACATACACGGTATCATCCATATACACGTCGACCTATTTTCACTTAACATCCCAGAATTGCACAAAAATGGCATTGCGCACACTCTTGACTTTATCCATGTACACTGCTAAAGTCCTATCTAGTAACCTTTATCGCCTTACCAAAATGTCGCCAAACTACCTGTTACCATATTCCAAAGATTAGCCTAAATTTGTTCTGGAGATAATTCTTCACTAGTGATGAATCCATTTGCAAATTGTTCAGCAGCTTCAGTATCAGCTGAAGCTTTTCACCTGAAATTTTTAATTGTCATATACAATGGCGATTTTTAAATTTGTTTAACCAACTTGTCGAATATGTGCACTCATTGTTTAAGTTCATTTCTTCATGAAATATTTTGGCTTGAGCCATTAGCATTGGACGCGTCAATGGCACGCCTTCGCCGCGACGCTGTCTGACCCATTCAATCAGCACTTTGTCATGATCGTCTCTTTTAGCATAACGAACCCTTTTTCTGTTAGTCATTGCTAGTGGGGTGTCGGAATCCACAAAATATTCAAAAAGTTCCTTTTTCTTTTTACTTATGTCATATACATTTGACTTTCCAATGTCGTACTCCTCGCATAATTTTGAGACGGATATGCCTTTATCCATTTTTTGCAGCAATTCCACTCTTTGTTTGATGGACATCGAAACATGCTTTCGCTTTGTAGATCCTTTGGCAGCTTCAGAATTGGAAACTCTTTTTGACATAGTCGAAAGTTCAAGCTTACTTTTCATAAAATTGCTCTAACAGTCTGCAAAAAATAATAAGCCGGATCTAATTAGAAGATTAAGGAACAGTGCAATCTGCAACATTAACTGAAATGCCTTAGATAATTTTAGCCTAGCTTATACCGGCTGTTATACATTAAACGCGCATGCGTAAATGCATTATGTGTTTACGCATGCGCATAAATTTTGTAGCTTTGAGGTCCGGATTACAGACTTTGTACTGTAGTTCTTAGTTTTGGAGATAAATCATAATTCTAGCTGGAGCCCTAAATAAGAAAGCTGTGACACTTTTTTTATGTACCTAAACAAAATTTCTGTAGAAATTTGATTTTGAAAATTTTAGTTTTAGTAATAAAATTTTATTAAAAATTGCTTATGAAATTTTATCTCTTCATATTTTAAACTTTTATTTACTATTTAATTAAGCATTTTGTAGGTGATTACCATTGTGGTTTCCTCAAAGGAAGATCTACAGCAGAACAAATCTTTAACATTTGGAAAAAACTAATGAATATGCCACTGCAACACACCACCTTTTTGTTGATTTTAAGACTGTCTACGATTCAATAAACAGAAAATATTTAATTGAAGCTATGAGAGAATTTGCAATACCTAAAAAACTTATAAATTCGGTCACCATTACTCTTACTGAGACAAAACTTAGGTTAAAATCCAGAATAATCTTTCTGAGCCTATTGTTATTTCAAATGAGCTGAAGATTGAAGAAGACTAAAGGACAAAGTGACGATTTGAATTTTTTTTTTTTTCAAAAATATTGCCAAACCATTTACATTTATCAAAACTCAGTATTATCAATATATTAAAACAAGAACTTTAACATACAAAAATGATGATTAAAGTTATGATTTAAAATTAATACAATAATGCAAATTAGAAATTCAAAAATGATATTTTAAGCATCGCACATAATATGCTGTACATTACTGTCGTTCTTCCCATGTACGTAACAATCTGTTTTTGCTTAAAAATCTGAGTGGTATGGGTTTTTTTATCTGTCATGAAGACTTATATTTAAATAGCATTTATTAGCAAAATTTGTATATTTACTTATTTTAACATCTATTTTTATAAACTTGCATTCATTAAGATGACATTTACATTATTAAAGAAAGTACGAAAGCAAAATATCTTAAATTGTAAACTAACACATACCACGTGGCAAAAAAATCTCATGACCAAATAAAACTGATCATGCCAGATGGTTAAAAAAAATCAGAGAATTTTACAAATTAAGCATTGTGCATATTAAATATTTTATATATGTGATAAAACTGCTTTCTTATTGTGCTAAGACTGCATTATTATATTAAAATAAGATGACTTAGAGGAAAGTTGCAACGGATTGGCGTTGGAGAGGACTGCATCATAACTTGAAGAATTTGCTGCATAGTTAGCAAAATGACACTCGAAAAACACATATAATGCTAAATTCCACACGCATAATTTTATTTTTTTTGACAATGCACATTATTATTGTGGGTGCACTATGCACCTCCCAATTTTTGTTTGGCTTACATCTTTTAAAGAATGGACGAAATTTAGAAAAGTAAACTTTGCACAGCTAGGGACACAGCGGAAAGGAGCAGAAGAGACGAACAAAGAGGAGAAGAGGGAGTTGTAATGTAATTAAGCTTTGAGGAAATTCCATTTCAGATCACGACACTTTAATGTACAGCATTTTGGGTTCAGATTTCATCAGTAAGTGTGCATCTGAGCTGCAGGGAAAAAATTTATCACTGTTATTTTTAGAATGAAACAGAAGTTAAAAGGCTATTGTTTTATTATTTGAAAGCTAGATTTTACATATATATATATATATGATGCATTACTGTTTGTCTTCCCATGTGCACAGCAATCTGTTTTGCTTAAAAATATAAAAGAATAGCACAAACTTCTCATCGTGAACACTAACATTATATATGTCATATTACATAATACATTACAGTTTTTCTACCCATGTACACAATGATCTGTTTTTACTTTAAAAAAAAATTTCCACAACTCTCACAATCAATGTAGAACTCAAACAGGAATTCTATTTTTGATGTCTTAAAAATTTGCATGTTTAAAATAAACAAACAGCATTCAGAAACAGATAACTTTAGACCAAAAGAGATATACACCAAAATACTATTAATTCTGGTGATAAAAGATTAAAAAAAAAAAAAAAAGTTTTCAAAATAACTATTACAAAGTAGCAAAAAAGTAAGGTTACTAGGATGAAAAATCATTATCTAATTTCAAAAAATCCAAATTTGGCATTTCTTTACTTTAGTCAATTTAAATTTCAATAGCTTTTATTTCGAATGTGAAATAATATGTTGGGAAAAAGAAATGATAAATAAAAACAGTAGATCACATACTACATGATTACTGTGCATTCCCCCAATTTTATGCATTATTTAATTAATTATGATTTTTTATTTTATAGGAATTCAGAATTTTTATTTATTTGGTTGTAACCAGAAAATTTAATGAAGATAATTAATTGCTGGAGATCATTTGGCATAAGGAAATCATTATCTTTTGGCTGTAGACAATATGACATTTGTCTAAATTTTTCATCATATTTGAAATTTAAGCGACCAGAATCTAAGTTAATAACTATGAAACTTGACACACCACAGTTTCGTGCCATATTTACTCCTGAAGTTAATAAACTATCAGAATTATTTCAAAAGTATGGTCATGGATTGCGTCTGGCAGGAGGAGCTGTTCGTGATTTGTTGATGAATAAACAACCAGAAGACATTGATTTTGCTACAACTGCTACCCCAGATGAGATGAAACAGATGTTTACAACTGAAGGTAATTTATCTTACATGTTTTAATTGTATTTATGAATTTGTATAGTTAATTTTACTAAATTAAGATATATGTTCAAAATAAGTATTTCCACATAATTAGAACTGTTATCAAGGGTAACAAGACATTAGACTAATAAAATTGTGATCAGGCTTTCTTTATTTGCCATTATAATCATTTCGTCTACATTGTTATAAAAGGAGATGACTTAACGCTTGGTTTAAAAAAGTTTTTGTACTGATTCTTTATTGCCATATATGGTTATATAAAATTTTAAATATAGTGTTCATCAAAGTGTTGTCCTGTTACAATCCTTACTTCTGTTTGTGCTGAATATGGTAGTACTGATTTTTTTAAAACAGATCTGTATGCATTTAAGATCAAGTTCTAACTTTAGCTGATAATATACTAAAATCTTGTTTTTAATTTGCCGTCTTTGCTAAAAATGCTAGGAGTAGTTATAATAAATTATGAAGTATATCAATTCAAAATTATTCTCTGCCACATGATTCTTATTTAACGTTATCATAAAATGCACTTAAAGCAAAAGTGAAAGTACAATTTGCTACTTTCTGATTGCACCCCACGAAAACATCACACACTCGTTCATTGCTAATTTTCCACCAAGCTATTGTGTGAAAAGTAACAGCCATTTTCAAAATAGTGGCACGCTAAGAATTCCATAGACTAATCAATTAATAGTAGTTAAAAAGCAAGAACATCAGTAATAAAATACTATTGCGTGCGTACGGGTTCATAATGGATTAAATGCACAAGTCAATAAGAAGTTAATAAACTTTATTATTATCCCAAGAATAAATACAAAATGCTTAAATTTCCTCAGAAATATTCGTACAATAATACAATATCACACAGTTGTTATATTTTAAACTACTAAAACGTTCAGTAGAACTCAATTCAATACAGAGAAAGCTAATCCAATTTCACCACAAATTCGCTACAGTCAACAACAAGAACTAAGTAAACAACTGAATTGAGATGTTTTTCTTCGGCTTTTATAAGCTTTTCAATCCTGCATGAGAACATTCTGGTATTTTCTCGATTTTTCTGGATAGCAAAACTGTACAATAACGAGATATCTATTTATTACAATGTGTAAATGCGCGTGTGTATTTTAATTTTTCCGATGTAGCTTTCCTTTCAAATAAGTGTCGTGCTCTGTTACATAAGAGTATAAAACAATTGTAATTAATTCTACTAAAAGTAACTAAATAAATACAAAAAACCGTAACACTGCCCCCTTCCGAAGGATTGCACGTCCTGGGCAGGTAGCCAAATTTACGACGAAGTCATCAATGCAACAATAAACATTACAATAACAACATAAACAATAATTGCAATAAGTAACTTTAAACAAATCAAATACTAAATACAAATCAAATCAAATACACATTTAGAAACAAAAAGGATCATGGTCGTATACTATTTACAATTATAAATAAACTATGTACTATGGTCATAGTAAGGAGCTAACCTGTCGTAATGAACGATTTTAGGTTTAGAGTTCGATGACTTACAGATCTGAACCACAATGTCGTTCAGCCTGTTTTAAACTGTGTATGGACCATCCCAAGATGACTGCAGTTTTGGACAGAGTCTTTTCCATTGAGTCGGATTCCACAACCACACCTTGTCTCCTTCGTTGTATCGGGTCTTCATCTTCTCCATCGCCAAGCTGACTCGCTCTCGTACAAAGTTGTGCATCACTTCAAACAGGGCGTGGAAATCTTGAATGTATTCCTCAGTCGATAAAGGCGCAGGGGCCGGTCAATTGGAAGATCACAAGGCAGATGAAGGTCATGACCTAAGAATATCCGAGATGGAGAATACCCAGTAATCTTGTGTTTCTCTTCGACCCTAGTATGATTTCGGCAGCTTTCTGAGCAGGGTCTTTCAGACAAGGATCAGTGTTTCCAGGTGAGGATCCCTTCTGATGATGAATAGTTATGTCCTCTGATTCTGAAAGCAGTTTGTTGTTTTTGAAGTCCAAGGCAAAATTGTATTTCCTTAAAAGAATCTGTAATCTGCTGCATAAGCTGTGTGATGGTAGGCGGCACTTCCAAATGTGATGTTCACATTTAACTTCCCATCTATGTCGATTTTATCACCAGACACAGTCTGGAAGGTAACACAGGATGGCATCTAAATGAATTTATCTTTAAATTGTTGAGCTGCATCTTTTCAAATGAGGGAACATTAGCTCCTGTGTCAATGATCCTATTGCAAGGAACTCCATCAATATGCCCATTGGTGGAGAGTCCATTACTGTTGCTACTCACTGCAGAAATCTTGAGAGCTTTAAATGGTGTTTTTCATTATCTGGCAACCTCCATTCCTCGATATGGTCATTAATTTATTTCCTGCACCATTGCTGGATAACATAACAATACTATCTTTTTGAAAAATCCTTTTTTTTTTTTCACTGATATGCTCCCCGTGTGCACAGCAATCTGTTTTCACTTTAAAAAAGTTACGAGAGAATTGTACAAATTTAGCATACGTACAGCTTTGGCATTGCACGCTGGCCAAAACAGATATGTGGGATTGCTACTTTTGGCAATAGTTACATAGGTTGCCACATAGCTATTTCAATGGGATCATGGGTTGCAACATAGCTATTTTGGCAACATATTGCTTTTTTTCCCGCTAAATGTAGCCCTATATCTTTTGTGGTGAAATTTCTTGAGCTTGGAGAATGCCGTTTCCATTGCAGTATTTTTTATTTTTGGTATTTTGTTTCGGAATCAAAGCAGAAATAATGGTTGAGTAATGCAAATACACAGAGTTGGCTGCTAACTGTGTCAGCTGATATAAACACATGGATATGTTCTTGATGCTTCTGAATAGTTTTGTTTTTGTTCTTGGTGATATGGGGATATATATATTATATATCCTCTCATTTTAGAAATTTTATTCATTCCTTTTAGATTTTGGCTAGCACTGAGGCAAAAATTTTATGTATCATTTAGTGAAACATTTTTCATACTTCAAGCGGCAAACAAAATGTAATGATAAAGTTTTGAAATTAATTCTGACATCTATCTGAGTGTTCCTATCATTCCACAAACTCGTATTTTAAAACTCAGTTGAATACAAAAAAATATCACAAATTGTTTATGAAAACTGTTGGAATTTGGAATACAACAGAAAGGAACGCATATCAAAATGGTGGCATTGCTAGGGATTGTTATGAGCATAGTTGTTAGAAGAATGGTTAAGTGCATGGTTGTCTGAGTTTGACACATTCTGGAAATTTGATGACTTCTATTAAGGTGGCTACCTTAATACGTAAGTACCAAATATTTTTATATTGCAAAATGGGATTCCATGATAAATTATCTGTAATATTAGAATAGTATTTAATCTGCATTATTTTAGGAAATTTTTAGCATGTTGCTGCAAATGGGACAGATATTATAAACAAAAATTGAATTATTATCCACTATATAGAGTATAACAACAATATTCTTTTCTTTTTGCGAGTCCATAAAAAGAAAATATCACATTTTCTACTTCACTTTGTAAAATTGAAATGTTTTATCAAAAAAGATATGTAATGCAATATTTTGTATATTTAAATATCATCAACTTAGATAATGTATTTCTTATTAAAAGCTGCTTTTCTGGCAATAAATATCACATTTTATTTGTGAAAAATGTTTCATTATTTATTTGTTTTAGGTGTTAGAATGCTTCATCGTAAAGGAGAAATGCATGGGACTGTGACAGTTAGAATAAATGACCAACAAAATTTTGAAATAACCACACTTAGAATCGATATGCGTACAGATGGTAGACATGCTGAAGTTGAATTTACTACAAACTGGGAATTAGATGCTGGTAGAAGAGATCTAACTATAAATGCTATGTTTTTAGGTAACATCTTTTAAGATATTTGGATTTATTTTGGCAGTTTACTTTATTTAAAAAAAAATTTAAAAGATTTAAAAAAAAATAGACAAACAAATAGATGTTATAGATATTTTATAAAATTTCTGTTTATGAATGTTTTTTAATGAAACATTTTAAAAGTATCATATTTTATATTTTAAAAGGTCTGGATGGGACATTATATGATTATTTTAATGGTAAGGAGGACTTAGAAAAACGAGCTGTACGTTTTGTTGGGCATCCAGAAGGACGTATAAAAGAAGATTATTTAAGAATTCTGCGTTATTTTAGGTAATTTTAAACTTTTATGTGCATATAGGTATGTAATATGTACACTGAGCAAAAAAAAAGGGGGGGACAGTTCTGTATCTCTCGTTCTACTGGGCTGATTGACAAAATTTAAATTGCGTTCTTCATATTTCGAAAGTGAAACTTAGGTTATATAGATCTATTCTAACATAGGTATTTTGACACAAAATCGGACTTTTTCTGAAATAGCATACGAATTTTTTTTCCATATTTCGATTCTACGACTCAAATTATGCCTAAATATGAAATTTTGTAAAATTTGGTACGAAATTTACGGATAAATTCACAAATTTATGTTGGCTTTTTTTTTTCCGATTGCGCCAAGAAGAGTTCACTTGGCGAACTTAATATATGGCAACCTCTTTTCCTTTCCCTTTTTACATCGTGTGTGAGAGTTTCAAATAATGTTCTTTATATTATATTTTTATTTATAATTGTTATCATTTTAAGTATTTTTTTTTTCTTTTCTGAATTTTATTTTAATTGTTTAATTTGCATGGTTTCTTTTGAAAAACTGTTTTAAAAATTTCTATTTACCCATTCAAATTGCATAGTTTAAATAAAAGGTGCATCGATTTTTTTTCCAAATAGTTTTCTTTATAATTTATTTTTTGCCATAGTTATTATTTTAGGTAATTTTTTAATTTTCAGACTTTTATTTTAATTGTTTGTGTTGCATTGTCTCTTCAGTTAATTGTTTAAAAATTTTCTATTTATTCATTCGAGCTGAGCATTTTAAATATATTAAAATTCATTTTTCGGAATTTGATTTTATCTATTTGTGTTTCTTTCGGAAGAACACTTTGTGACCCAGACTACGATGCATTTGAAAACTGCATATATTAAAAGAGAAAATACCGTAAAGCACAGTTAACACACTTTTTAATGTTCCGTTCAGAAAAGATATATAAATGAGAAAGATGTATAACCGCCATTTTAACTTAGGATGACTTGCATATATTGCTTTAAACAGCTTTATCATTATGCTCATTACTTTACACAATTTTATCATCCTACATTTAGTTTCTTAAAATGTTATTCATATTTTAGTCAAATATTTTATTTTTAAAATTGCAAGAATCAAATATCATAAGATTAAAAAGTTTTAAATTAAAAAAAAAATACTAAATTTTATGCAAAAATTTATTTTTTCTTCTTAATGGCATGCTCTTTTTCTTCAGGCATTCTGTAAGTATATTAAAAAGCATCCAACTTTTCGAAACATTTGGTATTTCTGGCATTCATTCTAAATAGAGTTATCGCCTTCCATTTCATAAAGACCCACAAGCGTTCGAGCAGTAAAGTCGCTGAACACTGGTAGTTTGCTCCGGGCTTTGAATTCCAGCGAACGGGCTGGTTGCATGGGTGTTTTCGTGGTGTTTCTCATTGTAACGTATATGCCTGCTGGTTTCCCTTAAAAAATTCTTCACAAAGGCATCCCTCCTTTTAGGCAGATAGCCCTGCTTTCCCATAACTTAATAATTCAAATCGATCCATTTCATCAGTATTTGGTCAAAGCCTTTATCAGTCTTTATAGGCTAGGCATTTTGAAGGCGTGAGATGAAAGGAAAGACTGCTTTCATCAAGTGGAAAAACGTCTTTAGCTGATATCTATATACGTCTCTGGATAAATTCTGGAATCTTTAAATAATTAGACTGAGAAATCATGGGATGCTCCGTTTATGATATAATATGATGTTCTATGAAAATAAAATTTGACCTATAAAACTTTTAGGTAAATTTATACAACCATATAGTCAAAAACCAGTCAATCGCTCACTTCATGTGCAATTATCGTTTTTATCTTTTCCGTTGCACAATGATATCGTTTTTGTCTTTTCCGTTAGCACAAACTCAGTTTGCTGCTATTTGCTGGTGTACACATCTAAGTGTTTCTTTCTGAACTTTGAACACCCTAACTTCCTTGAAGTTTTCTGAAAGTATTCAGAAGCATCCAACTTTTCAAAACACCTTGGTATTCCTGACAGCCAAATTCCCCTTCAAATTTTTGCTTACTTTTCTCCCTAATTTTCTTCTTTCCTTCTGCATTTATTTTCAGTGCTCAGACAAGAAAATTAAGATTTTTCAATTGTTACACTTCCATAAATTTTGCATTCTTGTCAAATTTTTTAAAATATCAATAACATGAATTGAGTTTCAGCTGAATACATCTTTTCATTTTCTAGGCATTTTAACTATAAATAAAGTTTAAAGCAAATTTTAACTATAAATAAAGTATAAATATTTTAATTAAAAGTTTTTTGCTAAATGACAAACAAATAAAACAGTCCAGCAGTGTGTTATTCTGTACCACCGATTGACCCAATTCTTATATCGGCTGAAAACAATCTAAATCATATTAAAGATCATGTTTTTTATACAATCTATAACACAAGAGAAAATTAGCTACTTAAATTTCTAAGAGGATTAATGTAAAAACTGATATTTATATATATATATTTTTTTTTAAAAGCTGGGACATGACCTAAACTGTCAATGTCCTGTTTGCTTAAAAACATTGTGAAAATAAACATCAAACGAACTTTCTCAGTTTTACACAATTCAGTTTAAAAGCAGTTAACGTAAAGTAGCAGACAATAACACGGCAAAGTAAAAATTTACTCTACAAATATTTTTTAAAAGAAAGAAACATTTTTTTTAAAAAGTTAAAAATTTTAATAATATCATCTATAATTTTAAGAAAATAGCTTTTCATATAGTATTAATAAGTACTTATTATGCATCATTGAGGGAACAAATTTCATATAATTAATTCTCCACAAAAATTTATTTGAAATTTAAGGTTAAAAACAGCTGTGGCAATTCACTGTAACAAAAATCTATAAACCACATTTGGCGTTATTATTGCTCGAAAAAGAGATGTCAAATTTCAAAACGTGAAAATATGTAAATTCATGTATATCTTAGAAAATTTTGAATAAAAAACTGTAATTTTTTGTAGATATGCTTTAAAATGTAACCTACTTTAAGATGATGGTAAAAATTTTATAGGTTTATAATTCAAAATTTTTTTCAAAAAATTTATAAAAATTATTTAAAAATAGAAATTTTAAAAATAAAACACAAAAAATTGAATTTTATTTGGAATGAAACTAAATTTCAAAATAAAGGAAAAATCAAAAAGTTTAATAAAAAAGAGATAATAATAAATATATGCCAAATTTAATTAACATTGAGGAGCTAAAATTTTGAGAACTAAAATTTTAAAAACTCTTCGCGATTTTTACAAAACTTGGCAGTCTGGCATAATTTGACTTGTAGAATCGAAATATGTAAAAAAATATTGATATGTTATTTCAGAAAAATTCTGATTTTGTGCCAAAATACCTATGTTAGAATAGTGCTATATGTAAATGTAATATATATTCTAAGTTGCACTTTCGAGGCATGAAAAACACAATTTGAATTTTATCAATCGGCCCAGTAGAACTGAAGATATAAAACTGTCCTCCCCCCCTTTTTTTTGGCGCTGTGTACATAAAGCTATAACTATAAGCCAAAATTTTTTCCCCTTTCTCCAAGAAGAAAATTTTAGCTTCCTTAATAGTTTAACTTTTTGTAGTTTTATACACTGATCAGCCAAAACATTATGATCACCCTCCTAATATTGTGTTGCTATGCTTTGGTACACAAAACAGTTACAGCATGTTATGCTGCAGGTTTACAAGGTCTTGGTAAATTTCTGGGAGAAGGCTGAACCAAATTTACAAGTAGAGGTCATGCTGATCTCATTCCCAGCAGAAGTTGGTTGTTAAGGCATAGCTGCTAACTTTCCCAATTCATCGTCACATATCCTAGTCTCCAGGTACACTTCAGTCCTTGGCATGGCTAAAATCTCTGATGCTGGTGAGGGGCTGCTGTAATGATCATTGGATTACATCTCTCACAAGCGTGCATTGGATGAAGACAGGAGAGGAGATGATGTGGCTCAAGTGGTTGAGAAATGGTTGGGTGTTAGAGTTCCCTTGTGCTCTCAACTTGGTGTTTAAAGATATGTTGTTCAGAGCTCCTTTTATTTTTGTTTCTGGAAATGCTGTAATAGTTTCCTGCATTCATAATCAACATGTGTAAATAAATTCTGATGTTAATCTGAATATCCAGTTCATATTGGCTGGTGACATAATAAACATCAAACGAACTTTCTCAGTTTTACACAATTCAGTTTAAAAGCAGTTAACATAAAGTAGCAGACAATAACATGGCAAAGGTAAAAATTTACTCTTACAAATATTTTTTAAAAGAAAGAAACATTTTTTTTAAAAGTTAAAAATTTTAATAATATCATCTATAATTTAGAAAATAGCTTTTCATATAGTATTAATAAGTACTTATTATGCATTTCATTGAGTGGAAACAGCATTTCATATAATTAATTCTCTCGCAAAAATTTTATTTGAAATTTAAGGATTAAAAACAGCTGTGGCAATTCACTGTAACAAAAATCCTATAACACATTCGGCGTTGTTATCGCTCAAAAAGAGATTAGGCCAAATTTGAAAACGTGAAAATATGTAAATTCGTGTATATCTTAGAAAATTTTGAATAAAAAACTGTAATTTTTTGTAGATATGCTTTAAAATGTAACCTACTTTAAAATGTAACCTTTTTAAGTTATATTGGCTGGTAACAGTAGAGTGCACAAAATTCCACCTCATAGTTTTCGCTTTACAATCTGAGTAATTAGCAAGATGCATTATTCCTGTCCAGTTAACACTCCATATATCCATATATGGTGATCAGGAACCATTTCTGCATGCAGTTGATACAAAAGAAAGCAGTTCAGGGATATCATTTCCGAGATGCAGCTTGGCAGCCAAACACTATTGCACCTCATACTGGTGATGCAAAGTATGGCTTCATGCATGAGTGAGGATCTTCGTAAATTGCTTTTCCTGCAGTGATAGTTGACATACATTCGGTAGATTCTAGCCATTTGCAATAATACACTAGACAAGCTTACT